TGTGCTGAGCACTGTCTGAGTACATAAGATACAATTCCTGACCCAAAGTTCTCATGGCCTAAGATGAAGAGCAATATATGATTTTTGTATACAAATTACCATTTATTTGTACCCTGCTGCCCTTTGACCTATACTTAATTAGCAGTTGATATCATAGAAGTCAGGTATAAAAATAAAAATCTAAGTATCTTAAAACGGAACACAGTGAATCCTCATTATTATTTTTATTATTATATTTGTTTTGGCCTTTAGGACTTTTCCCTTTTGATTTTGACTACTTGTTCCAGTGTAAGCATTTATAGCCACTTTCAGTAACACTATCATAGTCCTTGTAATTACTTTCTGAAGAAAAAAAACCAAGTATTCAGTATTTTTATTAAGTTATTAAAATTGCTCTGTAAATCATCCTACTTTGAAAATATAACTAAAAATGCAACTGTTATAGAGAACGGTGATAACTTCAATAACTTTCCTGCCTCAAATAATAAGAGAATTGTTGTTGTGATGAAGGCCAGGTCTTCTCCCCTAAGTGAATAGGCCTTGCCTGCAGACCTACAGAAGGGTAGCGGGGAGAGATAATCCTCCTTTGTGCTAACCATGAGTGAGTCAGTCAGGCATTCTGCAGTAACTACTGCTGTTAGTTTATGGATTTTAGTAGCATCTAGAGGTCTTCTAACAGGTTTTCTCTAGCTACAGAGCCAGGGACAGAAGCAAGATTTGCTCCTTGCACTTTAATAATTCAGCTGTTTATAGGCTGAGTCCTCCAGAGTGTTGAGTCTCCACAACATGTAGTAAAAGATGTGGGTGCTCATCATCTTGCACAATTAAGTCCTAATAATGCAGGTGGGGAAAAAAAAGAATTGTTAAACAAAGTCACTGAAAGACAAATGACCAATATGTCTGCAAAAGCCACGCCTAGAGGCAGGCGCTTTTGTACATTTTCTTTGGCGGTGCCAGACAAAAGCCACAGGTTTGTGGAAAGAATGATATAGCCTATAGTAGTGTGCAGTTGGGGAAAAGAAAAAAAGGAAGTCCTGATGAGTTTTAAGTGTTAATTGTTCAACCTTTGTCTGGAAATAGAATTCATTATTTACTGTGACTGGCTGCTCATAGTTACACAACTGCACTAAAATTTTGAGTGTGGGCACCAGTGCTTGTCCACTGCTCACCTTTAATCAATTTTTCCATTTTAAAAAGTGAGCATAAAAAGCCCATTTAAGGTGCCAGGCTAAGAGCTTTGGAGACTGAATTCCTCTATTTTCAGAATAGGTTCAGACAGCACAGGAAGTAGCAATACAAGGTTTCGCATACTGCCTCACCAGCATGTCTCTGCACTGTCCTGGAGGGACTTGAGCTGAACTGGAAAGCCTTGTCTCTCACTTGAATGTGCTGACAACAACCGAAATGTGCTGGTGACTTTTGCAATATAGCCTCTCATCTGCCAGGAAATGATATTTAAGTCCCCATATTTATTATTTTTATCATCACCTGGTGATCATGTCTCTTTCAGTACTGGTCTGTGCTGCATTACTGGTCTGTGCTGCATTTAAACCAGCTGCTTGAAAGTAGGTGGCTACGTAACTTATCATCAGTCCTCTCAGCCATCCAACTGCCGTCAGCGATACTAGCAGTTTTTCCCATTTGTGGAGTTAGTGTTGAATTTTTTCTAGACATCACACAACACCAACATGTACATAGCCCTACATCCATAAACTCTGACATTGGTTTCACCAGTTGACAATGAGGAATATTTCCAACTGGTTAAATATAGATCAGTGCTGCAATTTGAGGATAACATACCACCTATATTAGACCAAGCTAAACCCCAGGAAAATACAACTCAGCAGCACTGGAATGGCTGTTTTACTGAAACTTTAATAAAAATCAGCTGCTATTTTAATAGGTGCATCCACAGATACTGCTAGAGATTTCCAATTATGATATTCCCAGCAGCAAACAAAAACAAAATTAATGTCAGCTGCATCCCCAAAAGCCTAAAGTACATTACTAATGAACTCCGAAGTACTCTCAAAGAAAACTCTCTATGCAAAGACAATAAGGTGGAAATTACTGTAATAATCTAAATGTGGAAATGGCAAAAAAAATGAAATTCAGAGTAGGATTTGCCAAGTAGGATTTGCCACTCATGATCCTATTAACCATGCTGTTAGTATAGCATATGCATGTATAGTGGTATTGTCACACAACTTGCTACCTTGGAGTTGACACCTTGGAAAGTACACACAGAAATACACGTTTTTCCATTTGTATTTCAAACAAAGGTAAGATATGAACCAAGGTTGTACTTTATGCTGAAAAAATATACCCTTAATGTGACGGTAGCAGAAACTGCCTCCATAGTAATTTGATTGTCTGGTAGAAGTGCACAGTTGCATAAAAATTTGAAATCTTGACTCAAACACAATCTTCTTGACTTTGTGCTCCAGCTTTAAATGTTAAAACTGTTGTCTTCCCTGTAACAGAAACGAGCATTATTCCAACTGAATATTTTGGTTACTACAGTTATCTTCTGTATTTTATAAAATATATATATTTTAAGAGAAATTTAATTTCTCAAGTTAGTTGGAAAAAGATAAAGTTTAAATGAACAGGATTTTCTTCATTTGTGCTAAATTGTTTCTGGTATTGCCATGCTCTGCTAAAGTTGCCACATTTCACTTCAGAATTAGACATATGCTAATTTTCTAAATCATTTTTATAATGTATAGAATATGCTAAATCTACTGTGAGCACTTGTCAAGTACCTTCTGGATGAATGATGCCTTGCATGTCAGATTATGATAATTCAATTTCAGCATGCACTTCAGGAAAGTTTGCTTCCCTCACCATTGCCTCCGCCATTGCTCCCTACTCAGACCTTCAGAATTAAATTACTCAATCTGTTGTAAGAGTATCTGTTTTCTAACTTTATGACCTGGTCCAGATAAGTTACCTGTACAAAGCAACAGATGTCACATAGCCACTTTCTATTATGTTATAGTCTCATACTGAGCGTTACATGTATTCTTTCGCCATATTTACAACACCAAGACTGCAGTGTTCTGTGGAAGTGTAGATGCATATCCTACTTTTGACATTGGCTGTCTTGGAGTCTGAACCCATCCAAAGCCCATGGAAATCAATAGGTGAACACCTATTGATATCAATAGATTTTGGACAAGGGCCTAAGTGCTCAGGTAGGAAAGCGTAACTGCAGTATAAATACCTGGCTAGCTAAACGAGTTTCTGTGTTTCCTGTCATTGTATGTGTTTATGTTGTCATGAGAAAGAAAGCCAACTCTTTTTTAAAGAAAAACTGAGCAGATGTGTTTTAAATGGGCAACTCCTCTCATTAAGGGGTTGAAGTAATTACATTCTCTGGATTTTTGTCAGCTAATCCCTTGTGCATTTTCTAATTGTTTTATTGCCAGCTTCAGAGTGATCAGATTAAGTCAGGGCACGGCTACACGGTATTAGCGATTTGCTAGTGGCTCAGACAACTTCTTCAGAGTTTAAACTTCCATTTAAAAACAGACCCTCTTACAGTTGCTGAGATAATCATTTAAATGTCTGATTACAACTTCATATAGATATAGAGAAACAATGGCTCTGATTCTTATTTTCTGCTCTGCCAGTAAGAAGGGCCCTTTACACGAGTGTTTAGGGCCCCTTTGTGCTATCCAAGTAGGGCAGATGGGTCATGGTATAAATGAGAATCAGACCCTATGGGCATTTTTACATGTGCTCCTGACATGGCATCAGGCATTTTTAATTAGCAAGCCATACTAATTAAAGTGTCTGCACATCGTGTGTATCAGCAGCGCAGTATGTCCCTGCGCTGAGAAAATGGTGGTTGTACACTTTGAACTAAAGCACATGGAACATGTTTTAGTGCCGAGCGCACTACGGCCACTTGCTCAGTACAGAGGTACGCTGCACCGCTGATGCGCGTGATGCACAGGGCTGCCAGAGCACATCAACTTATGTCCTCCAGCAGATATGATTAATGAAGTGTGCTCCAACACGGTGGATTTCCAGCACGTCGGAGCAGGCTCCCCACATGTCTGGAAATGCCCTATAGGTCTAGTGCCTGTGTGAAGTGCTTCAGTTTACCTCTAAGAGGTGTTAATACTTCAGACTACTGATCCAAATCAAAATCTTACTATTAACTATTTCACTTGTATTTGTTTAACAGAGAGTCTTGGTCTTTCTGGAATGACAGACAGAACTTGTATAGAATATCCTTCTTTTTTTTTTTCCTGGACTCTGACCGTCCTGATTCCCTTGGCTCACTGAGCATAAAAAAGTAACAGAATAATGAAAATCTGACTGCTTCAAATTCATATATCTGTAAATAAAACATTTTAGAATAGCAAGTGTGCATTTGCTACCCTATCATTTCATCTTCAGCATATAGCTTGGATTACTGATGGACATATATAGGAATGCAAGATGAACAGTGAAATCTATATTTACATGGGAGTCTTGAATGGTTGATTCCTTCTTCGTTCTTTCCATGCATTTAGATTTTCAAACTCTCAGAACCTTTCAGAATCAAAACACTGATGTTGATGAGGATAAGGATGATGATTCAGTTTAAGGCAGTCTCTGCAATGACAATTGGTGCTGCCCCATGGAAACATCTAAAGAATATTGGTAGACAAAGGTCTTTGAAATTGGATGCCTCCATTCAAAATTAGAAAAAAAACCCACATTTCTGGTGAAGCTATTCAGAAAAAAAAATGATAGAAAATGAAAACTATTGTCTATGGAATATTTTCACCACCACTTTTCAGGCACTTACACTGAATGGCTATACAGTAATATTTTAGATGTTTTGTTTTGAAATAATCATTTACGCATTCTGACTAGTGAGGTGGCAAAGGCTTGAATGGATATAGGACAGGAGAAGATAAATGTTGTTTGACACATCTGAGCTAAGTTGTTTGTAGACGTGATCTCTCCATTTATCTTAATTAAGTTTGATCTTTTCCCTTTAGGATTTCCTAAGACGTATTTTTTTCCCAAGTCTCTCTGAAGTCTATATAATACAAGACTGAGGTTATGAAGTCAATCCTAGATGGCCTCGCAGACACGACTTTCCGAACAATTACAACAGATCTGCTTTACGTGGGTTCCAACGATATCCAGTACGAAGATATTAAAGGTGACATGGCCTCCAAGCCAGGATACTATCCACAGAAATTCCCATTATCTTCTTTCAGGGGTGATCCTTTCCAAGAAAAAATGACGGCAGGAGATGATCCCCTATTAAGTATCATTCCATCGGATCAGATCAATATTACAGAATTTTACAACAAGTCCCTATCCTTCAAGGATAATGATGAGAATATACAATGTGGAGAGAACTTCATGGATATGGAGTGTTTTATGATTTTAAACCCTAGTCAGCAGCTGGCCATTGCAGTGCTGTCCCTTACTTTGGGCACCTTCACCGTTTTGGAGAATCTTCTAGTGCTTTGTGTCATCCTGCACTCCCGAAGCCTCAGGTGCAGGCCCTCCTACCACTTCATTGGGAGCTTGGCAGTAGCTGACCTCCTGGGCAGTGTAATTTTTGTCTACAGTTTTGTCGATTTCCATGTTTTCCATCGGAAAGACAGTCCTAATGTTTTTCTATTCAAGTTGGGTGGAGTTACAGCCTCATTCACTGCCTCAGTAGGCAGCCTTTTCCTTACTGCAATAGACCGGTACATATCTATACACAGGCCATTAGCTTACAAAAGGATTGTTACCAGACCAAAGGCTGTTGTAGCATTCTGTGTGATGTGGACCATAGCTATCGTAATAGCTGTCCTTCCTCTGCTTGGCTGGAACTGCAAGAAGCTCAATTCTGTTTGTTCAGACATATTCCCTCTCATTGATGAGACCTATCTGATGTTCTGGATTGGAGTCACCAGTGTGCTCTTGCTGTTCATCGTCTATGCCTATATGTATATATTGTGGAAGGCTCACAGCCATGCTGTCAGAATGATTCAGCGTGGCACTCAAAAAAGCATAATAATTCAGACTACAGAGGATGGTAAGGTACACATCACTAGACCTGATCAAACTCGTATGGACATCAGGTTAGCCAAAACCTTGGTCCTTATTTTGGTGGTTTTAATCATATGCTGGGGCCCTTTACTTGCAATTATGGTGTACGATGTCTTTGGGAAAATGAACAAGCTCATTAAGACTGTTTTCGCATTCTGTAGCATGCTCTGTTTGATGAATTCAACAGTGAATCCTATTATCTATGCTCTAAGGAGCAAGGACTTGAGGCATGCTTTCCGGAGTATGTTTCCAACTTGTGAAGGGACTGCACAGCCTCTTGATAACAGTATGGAGTCTGACTGCCAACACAAGCATGCCAACAATGCAGGTAATGTTCACAGAGCTGCTGAAAGCTGTATTAAGAGCACAGTTAAGATCGCCAAAGTGACCATGTCTGTCTCCACGGACACAACTGCAGAGGCATTGTAAGTTAAATACCTCTCAACATTCTGAGAAAAGAAATTAGTTTAAAAAAAGACTTAAAGTGTTTGTTCCCTCATCTGTAACATTTTTAAGTTTATTGATCATTTTAAGAATCATTGCCATCAGCCAACTCTCCGAGTTTTACAATTAGGGATTCAAACAAAACAATTTTCACTTAAAAATGTTGATTGAATAATAAAGAGCAAATTGCTGAAAGAATGTGTAGAAAATATGGAATTGGCAAAATCTTAAGAAGTTTGTGTTCAAAAATGGCGAAACCTAATTGAAAACTAAGACATCATAAAACAACTTCATCAAATAAGAAAAAGCCTTGTAATCATAATTTTCATTGCAATGTGAAATGTATTAAATGTCTGTAAGTAATAGAAGTTTTGAGGTGTTTTTTTTTCCCAAAAAAGCGGCAGTACTGAGTTTTAGCAGTTTTGTAAAATGTGTTGTCCTGTGAAATGTATGCTGTTTTTATTATATGTTATTGATATTTGTCTAATTAAAAAAGTGATAAGGTAGAGTTATGTGAAAATGTGAATTATGTGGTATGTAAACCCCATTGAAAACATTTAACTGTATTTGAAAAATTCCTATGAGTTATTTTGGGAATTTACACTTTCAGTGGTCTTCTGTGGACTTAGAGGAAAGGCTTTGTATTTCTTCTACTAAAATTATTTGACATTAGAAATCCCCATTAATTTTGCTGAGGGTGTAAAGAATAACAGCAACAAGAGAATATAGAAGTATGTAAGTGCAAGGAATGCATTGGTTCAGACTTTTAAATACCACTGCGTATAAACACAAAGACATTTATTGTTATACAGACTATTTCCCTTCTCTTGGGCACATGTGAATATGAACACTGAGAAGAGAAGGTACTGGATATTGGCTTCTTTAGCTGGCAACTGTTTTTGGTCTCATGCTATCACTGGACTTCTGAAGACAGCATGTGTCAGACTCATTGTGTAATGTTATCACTGTGCAGTTGATGTATACTTGACGTGTGTTTGCATTTCTATATCCAGATTAAACAGATTCAAAGCCTGAGATGCCAAACTCCAGTCATTACTAAAAAAAGGAAGAAGTATTGCCAGGATTAGACTTTTTTTATTATGTGTGAGCGGGTATAATATTAAATATCTGTGTGTACATGTATGTGTGTGTGCACATGCACAAAAATGTGTGCATGTGTATGTATTCTAATAAATGTGAGTCGTTTTACTAGGCTAGGAAACTATGACCAAACGTAAGCTGTATTTCTTGTTGCGTGCTTTGCACATTAATTCTGTTTCTAAAACTGAGCTCTTCCACCTGACTAGTTATGAAATTAACTGGTTTTAAGATTCAGAACATGCTAGCAAATCCATATTGGGAGACTTATCCATGTATTAGAGGAAACAGCATTTTGGTTTTACTTTAGCACAAGGTTTAGCAGGAGGCAAAATAGGCCATGAACAAAAATAGACAACTGAAAATCAGTGTTTTACAGTGCTTTAAAAACATTTTGAATGCTGACAATAAAAAAAAAAAAAAATTTTATTCTTAAAGTCCTTGAGTACTACCTGAGTCCTTGGTTCCAAAGAGGATGAAGCTAGACTGTTCTCTGTGGTGGCAGATGGCAGAACAAGGAGTGATGGTCTCAAGTTACAGCAAGGGAAGTTTAGATTGGATATTAGCAAAAAATTTTCTTATTAGGAGGGTAGTAAAACACTGGAACAAGTTACCCAGAGAGGTTGTGGAACCTCAATCCTTGGAGGTTTTTAAGACCCAGTTAAACAAAGCCTTGACTGGGATGGCCTAGTCCTGATGGTTCTGCTCTGGGCAGGGGGTTGGACTAGATGACCTCCTGAGGTCCCTTCTAACCCTAATTTTCTATGATTCTAAAACTAACTAATGGAAATGTAGTTGCATCTCACTGTTAAACAGGGTACAAAAGACAATGGAAGCCTGAAACCTTTAAATATAAGGCAAAGAAAGAAAATTTGTAGATTCAAAGATGCAGTTCCATTTTAGGATGGAATTTCTCTAAAACTGAGGGTTTTAGTATTTTGTGAAACAATCCCACTGGTGTGGAAATGCTCATTCTGAATAAAATGCATTGAGTCTGATTCCCTACTGCCAAGTACCATTGGTGTTGTCTTGTTTCCTGTTCTGACTAGTTTAAGCCAGTTAGCAGCTTGAGGGTTCACCAAGGCAGGATAGGAGGATTTTTCTTGTCCTAGTATTTCTATAATAAAGACCATGCTGCCAGCCAGCCCTCCATGCTCTAGGGCAGGGGTGTCAAACCCACCCTGCCCAAAAGCCAGATCCTTGTGGGCTAGATCTGGACCCAGCAGCAGCAGGCAAGCAGCACTGTGTCAGCACAGCCATCGCTTACCCCCTGCCACCAAAGGTGCCATAACCCCAAATTCCTGGGTCCCCCAGGAACCCACTTGGCTGAAGGAAAATGACTCCATAGGCCATATGTCTGATACCCAGCTCTTGGTCATGTTGCTTATGGAAGGGAGCCTGACTGGATCTATGGTGATCCCAAGCTTCCAGAGTGACCCTTTTAGAGCTCTGGTATTTGGGTGCAGGTCAGAGCAGCCAATAGCCCCCAAAGACCTAGTGGCAACTTCAGCCTTCCCCAGGGTTGTGGGGAGAGCTTACATTACATAGAGGCCCCTTGGGCCCTCTGTCTGTCTAGGGCCCTGCACCAATCAGAGCGTGATTTGAGTCAAAGGTCTAACTCCATGCCTAGTCATTTACATCTGTGTAAAATCCAGAACAGAACAGCAGCATTTTTCTCCTGCCATGCATAGGTATAAATAACCATGTAAGGTACCAGACAGGAGAGATTCTAGCCCATCAATTGAAGACTTGTGACTCATCCTAAGAGCCAAATCATGCAAGGTGCAGAGTTACTACCACTCCCATTTAACTTGGTGGGCATGTCAGGACACTTTACCCCGTGAGAGGTGGAAGGTGAGAAGCATGCTGTACTCTGTAAAAGAACAACGATTAGCTTGATTGCTAGTGAACCCTAATTATAGAAGCTTTTTTCCCTTTCCAAATATAACCTGCTCATCCCAAAGCAGTTTGTTAGGGAAAACATAATTGTCAAATGAAAAGGTACTTTAAGAGCCATGTTTTTAAACTGTCATTTTGTGAATTTAATGCAGATTTTATAGATTTCTGTTGTGCATTCAAGTTCTAAACTTTACATGACAAAACATGGGGCAATGGGGCTGTCTTGGCACTAAACTTGGTGCTTACTGATATAATAAGAAATAGCATTCTGTGATGTTTCAATGTGTCATTGAATACCTTCATTTACATAGGAGTTTTCTAAAAAGCTCTGTAAAGTGTTTGTCAACTTAAAAATGTATTCATTAAATGAGGTGGCAAAAATGTCCCTACAACCTGTACATGAGCTATAACTATTATTTAATTAGATTATCAGTTACTGCTCCTAGATTAGCTGTACTTAAATTTCTGCTTTAGGTAATCCTAATTTGCAACTGCCCACTTTCTTCTGGTGATAGCACAGCCAACCTACATAGCATTTCACAGCCACCCACAACCTCACAAAATGAATAACTCTCTAGTTACAGTTCTGTGTATTTATCAACTCTTAAGTGTTATATATCTATAAATGAGACCATCTGTATCACGTGCAAAGTTAGGTTCTCAACAGTTTAGTTGTATATTTGTATATTATCTCCTCAGTGCTGTGCAATCACTATCAAAGTTTTCTTGCACTGGCCTTCTGATGAAAATGTCTGCCATAAGATAGAACATTTTTTTCTAATGTTTTTGGGCTGAATGTATGTAAATAAGTGAATAATAATAATAATAATAACAAAAAGACAGCTGTACAAGCAGTGGCCTCAAAAGTCTGTAATTGTAGAATAGGACAAATGTTGAAGTTGCTGTGACATCTGAAAAGCTACCTTTCGAATAAACTGTTTACAGGGTCTCTTGGGATGCAATGTCATAAAGAAAGGAAAGTCTTTCCTTTTGATAATTTGAAGTAAAGAAATTGGATTACCTGAGCTTTTTATTTCCAATGTTTCAAAGTGGAGAACATAATTCTTTAGTCTGTAAATCTAACATTATTACTTCCTCTTAGAAGAATATTGTATCATTAGATGTTTGTTTGAGCTGGTAACATCCTTGGAGCTGCTGCAATATATTCCTGTTAGCAACTTGTATAATACTTTGTACACAAGTACTGGTAAGACTGTCATTAAAACTAGCTTTGACCATTTAACTACCAGTAGCAGAATAGTATTTCTGTAATATTTCCAATGTATTACTACCATATCATATTTTATTTCTATAATGTAATTAAACTGTTATTTATTCAAGGAAAAAGTATTCTGTTATTTTTGCCTTTCAAAATTTGCTGAGGATGTTGCATTGTGATGCCATCTCAATCCACAATCTAGAGCTGTACATCTTATTAATAAATTTGTCTGACACGCTTTTCTATACAGTATTTCTCAGGCTTCATGGATTGTCATTGTATTTGGATTTCTTTAAGGGTGGACTACATATTTTATGTTTTTGCCTTTGGTGTGGAGACAAATGGGAGAAAACCTGGTTAAGACTGTTTCTCTCATTTAATTATATAGATAATTTTTGTCTTCAACCTGCAAAAACTTAACTATTCTTGAATCCTGACACACTAGAGTTTTCCTGGAAAGCATGGAGAAAATCAGACAAAATGTTCCCTGATTTATTTAAAAACCTAAGCAAGTTTCCTGACAAGAAATTTTAAGATGCCAATAAGGATCAAATCAATTTTCTGACACTAACACCCAAATTAAACACAAAACCTGCAGTGATGACTAAGCAGGGTCTTTCTGAAGAGTTTTTGCAAATCAGATGAAGGTTTTTTTGGAAATTCAGGTGTTCCTACTGGGCTTTTCTTTGTTTTCTCAGGCATAGTATTGACTTATAATTTCTAGGCTTTTAAATGTCTGAACTTTGTGGAAAGCTACAATTTCCTTTGGAGGCTTTCCCTTAACGTATTGTTGAGCATGAAGTCCCCATGTAAGCTTTGATTTAAATAAGGCTTAAAATATTATTAGCTCTAGTGTTTTGGTCTCTGTCAGATTACATTTGCATAGAGATGCAATCACATTAGAAAAAAAATCTTATAAACAAAAAAATAAAAGATCTGACAAGTAGCGCAATAAAAAACCTTTAATAATTTACTAGTAAATGTAAAAATAATAAAAAGAATTATTTAAACCTGATGAATTGGATTCATTCAGGGATTGTTTAGATGGGAATGATCTTGCTATGAGCAAGGGGTTGGATGAGATGGCCTCCTGAGGTCCTTTGCAGACCTGATTTTCTGGTCTAGAAGGAAAGTCTATAAAAAGGGATTTTGAGATGGCAACCTACTGTCTGCTGTAGGCTGATAGAGCAAGTGCAACCCAATAACTGGCACTGGTCAAAGACTGGAAAGGCTTTCTAAAGGACTTGCTGATGGAAAACATCCTGCAGTAGACACTAGTATGGGTCTTTCAGCAAATACAAGCCCCTCCTCATGGTATAACCCATATGAGATGCCAAGAAACAAATTCACAGCTACATCCCCTGGAATGATTACTTCAAAGAACACAGGAAGCCTGCCTAACATAAGGGAAATGCAATGTATCTCTTTCTGCACCTTCCAACTCCCAAATATATTTCCACTTTCCCAAAATGTGGGGTTCACAGTGACAAATAAATCTTATCTACTCCCTCTCCATTTATCCTTTTTCTATCAAGAAATGAGATAAATAATACTTGTTCAGTTCAAATCTTTCTCTAATCTTATGTTTCTTATGAGGCCCTCAAAGGCCTTGTTTAAAGACTGTTGACTAATAAAAAGACTCCCATTTACTTCATTAGGTTTCTATAGGTGCTCATGGTACAACACTTAAGCAACTTTTTCTTGCTACCTTTATGCTTGCAAGATTTCTGAGCTCTTTAAGTTGTGGATTGGACAAGGGACAGTTTGTGTTGCTGCTGTGGTGTAATTCTTGTATTTTAGGAAATATTCACTTGTGA